TCTGCCCCACTTTCAGGGGACTCTCCTCTGCTCATCTCTCCCCCTGCTGAAGCCAAGCTCCAGGACCCGGCCAGGGACTCTGAGAACCCTGCCAGGAAGAAGGAAGGAAGGCTGAGAAGGAGGAGGAGCCTTCTCGGGTACAAAGCTTGAAGAATCTCAGGGCAAGGAAAATTGCCAGCTCAGGAGTAAGGGTTCCCAGTAAAATTGTTTCTCTCACCCCTGCATTCCCTTCTTCCTACCCATGGCTTGGCCGGAATAAACCATCTACTCTCTGACGAAGTATAGAGCCAACAAAAGAAAGGGATAGAAATAAGAGGCTCAGCCCCTTCCTTGCTGACCTGGGAAACTGCCAACCTCCTGGAGTCTCCACTGCCTCTTCTGGTTGCCAGGGAAGTGACAAGGAATGACACTGCTAAGTGCAGTAACAGGCATGGGAACCTATGTTTGTCCAACATGTTTTAATTCTCATTCAATGATTACTTGGAGCAGGTTATCATCACCTCCCTTTTACAAATAAGGAAACTGAGGTTCCAAGAAGTAAAGTCATTTGCCTAAATTTTCAGCCCCCAGATCCAGCTGTCTCCACGGTACCTGGCACAGCTGGGGCTCAATTCATTTTTTTTTTTATTGAATGAATGAATAAATAAATGAACAAGCACAGAGGTTCCTGTGGGATGTCTTCTCAGAGCTTGCATCCTGGAGGAGAGATACGTGGGCACAGAGGAGTAGGTTCCCTGCTCTGACCAGGCACCGTGCTCTCAGGGCTGTCTTCCCTAGGCAGAAAGGGAGAAGTGGGACTCCTGATTACAGCGAGCTCCAGATTTGGTGGTAGAAATGAACGAACTTGAATATAAAGCCAACTGAAACAAGGGCTGGGTAAAGATACAACTGCTGTATAACTGAAGAGATCAAGGAAGGCTTCCTGGAGGAGGCCACAATGGAGCAGATGTTGGGAATGATCATTTCAGCAGCACCTGCTGAGGGGCTCCCAATAATGAACCCACAGATGCTTTCTCCTGGTTAACTAGGAGTCCAAACCTTAGCCCTAAGTCACTGGGCTCCCCTTTTGCACGATACATACAGGGGTATAATTATTTTTCCCATTCTATACTATCAACTAGACCGAGTTAAATGAAAGAGACCACATCTTCATTCATTTTTGAATATCAACGCCAAAAACAGGGAGGGTCCTGAACATGTGATGTTGGATAAATGAATACCTGATTGATGGGTGGAGGGTGAATCCCTCCTGCACCCAACCCTGCCCTAGCCCAAACATGAGCCTTTCTTCAAGACACTTTACTATTAACTGCAGGAAATTTGTCATAATAAATATGCAAATCTACAATGACAACAAATGTGAATGGCGCCCCCTAGAGTTGTGCAGTGTACAACCGTGTGATACCCTGTCCCATTCCCCACAGGCCCCAAGGAATACATCCTTTTTTCCTCTCTCCTTTTTTGTCCTTTGGGACTGTACACCCTCCTAGAATAAGCTCCCCACCTTCTCCCTTCCTTATTGCCTCCCACCAAGAAGTAAGGATATTACTACTGCTCTTCATGAAAGGCAGAGAGCCACGGGGGAAGAGGCAAAGTTTCCTAGATGTTTGTCCCTGTCCTCTCCTTTTTCTATGGACCAGGGTCTTGAAGCCTCTCCCAGAAGTGACCAGAAGGTCTGTCAGGTGAGTGTGGAGACCAAGTCAGCTATTTAGATTATCACCTGCAGAAGGTTCACCACGCAGAACTGGCCTGGTTGTCAGATATTGCCTAAAGACATGGAAATAGCAGTGTACTTAGAGTTAGAAGATCTGTGTCTACCAGGCCTGTGTGACTACCAGCAAATCCCTTAAAAACCTCCGGGCCTCAGATGCCGATGCGTGTCACGCTTAACACAAAGAGTTATTATGAAATCTCTGTGTAAACCATAAGCTGATAAACAGAAATAAAGCACTCTCATTAGTGACTATCGTTACTTTTCAATGCAGCTGGGCTTAGGGAGTAGAGAATAGGGCTGGCAAAGCGGAGGGAGAAAAAAATGGAGGGAAAGGATGAGGAGTAGGCAGATGGAAGGAAAAATCATGTTACGGCCTGCATGGAGTCCCTAGAACCTGCTTTGACTTTGCAGACTGAGATCAGCGGGTTTCTCAGCCCTGACATGCCTCTCTACACTGACATGTGTGACGAGCAGGGTTCCCCCGTCAGGCCTCTCAAGTAAGGGCGAGGTCCTGAGACCAGCTCAGGACAGGGCATGGGGCCAGGGCAAGGGGAGGTCTCCATTTGGTGAGACTGATTCAGACACCCCCACTTGGCTTCATAAGCCAGGCCCAGGGGGAGGAGAAAACTGCACAGGCCACAGCTGGCTTCCAGTCTAAGACTGACTTCATTTCCTCCCAGAATGGAAGTTTTGCTTCAGGGAGCATCAGAGCGTCCAGGGGCCCCTAGACATGGCCCTCCTGCACGTCATGTGAAGGAGTCCCTGCAGAGCTAAGGCTGCCTGTTTTCATTCCTCTCTGGTGGAGCCCCCACAACGTTCTAAAATCACATGAAGATTCTAGCCAGACCTAAACTCGCAGTCCCGCCTCGTCTCCACTGCCTCTCTTCTCTCCTGCTAAAGAAATACGCCCAACTGCAGTGCATAAGTTATTTTTAACCATGGCAGTCTCCCCATTTTCAGCCTCACTGGCCCAGCCCCCTCCTCAAAACAGGCATTCAGCAGTGTCAGGATGCAAAGTAGATCAGCACCGATGCCGGAAACACAGTACAGCACCCACCGTCCCTTTCCTCAGTTGACCCAGGGGCTTTGCCTGTGGATTAAGCCTCCGTGAGTCCACTCCACTTCTGTTCTAGACTCAGAACCTTAAGCGGCAGGCAAATCATCCCCTGGGCCTCCTCAGAGAAGACTGGAAGGGGAAATCGTCACAAAGTGATCTGTAAGTATGCATGAGTGATGAAGGATGGAGACAGGAATAAGGAAGAGAGAATGAGACAGCCACTCTGCCTTCAGAGGGCCATGAGTCATTGCCCTTAAAGTCTGGGGACCAAGTAAAGCCCTTCCTGCTTCCTAGAGGCAGCTCTGAAAACTCCATTACTGGCTGATGCTGCAGGCCCAAAGGTCTGGAGAAGGATTTCCTCCAATGGCTCCCTACGACCCACCAGAAGCAGTTCAAACTCTCCTGCCTGCTGACACTTCACTTGGAGCTCACTCTCGATAAAATCCTTTCCTGACTACTTGAGCCCACATAACTCTATCCCTGTATAACTTTCAGTTACAACCCACTGCATGTTCCTGGATCCCAATCTGTCACATATTATCCTCAAGACACCCCTTGCATTCATTCAGTCATTCAATACTAGTTGATCTCTAGCATGCACAAGGCCCTGTACAAGTCACTAGGGGTCAAAACATAAGACACAGTCCCAAACTGCTCACAGTTCTGGGGGAGTGATGGGCACCCTGTGGGTTAACTGTTAAACTGTACCAGGGAACATGGAAGAGAGAAAAGCGTGAATATGAGAGTGGAGGAGGGAGCTTTGAATACCACTGGGGGCATAAGGGACAGAGGAGGTGGCACTTAAAAGAGGAGGAGGGGTTATCAGCATCTTGCAGAGGAGAAAATTAAAGCATGATCCAGTTTATTAAAGTTTGATCCAGCAGGATGCATAGGGGGCCAAGTTACAGTGCAATGTAGCAGTGTGTGTGAGGGCAGAGTGGCAGCAGGTGAAGCTGAAGAGGAAAGTTGGCCCTAATTTTGATGGGTCTTTATGTTGAAGCCTTTATTCCACAGGCAATGAAGAGCCAAAGATGGGTTATAAGCAGCTGAGTAATAGGATTAGGTTTGCATTTTAGATTTAAAATACTCTGTGAGTCATGTGGAGGATGTAGGGTGAGACTAAGAGAGAAAAAAACTATTAGATGGTCGTTGGAGGGTCAGGTGACAGAAGACCAAGTGGAGGGGGTGGTTATTTGAGAGACATAAAGGAGATGGCAGGACAGGCCTTGGTGATGGCTGGAAAGCAAGTGATGCCACCGAATTAGCGGCAGGCACTCCTCTGTCTGTCTGTCTGTACTCTGGCACCAACACCTGCTGAGATGCTGAGCACACCCCAGGGAGGCAGCTCTGGAAGCTTTGGTGGAAGCATCTCCTTTACTGAGCCAAAAACCATGCTGAGGGCTTTGCACACCTTATCCCATCCAACCCTCAAGGCAAGCCTGTACTGGGAGTATTCTTAAGACAAGGAAAGTGAGGCTCAGAAGAAAGGACTTGCCCTGAGTCACACAGCTGATCAGTGGCAGAGCCACAATCCAGCACCTTGCCGCTTGGACTCCAAAGCCTACACTCAACAACCACTGCACTGCACTGGGCTGGGCAAAGAACCGGGACCTCCCCCATAGGAGACAGCCCCCAGCCCTCACACCGTGTTCGGGGTGAATGCGTACAACACTTTTAGAAGGTAATATAAGCGAACCTGCCCTCTCTAAGAACCTCATTATAAGGAAAAAACTCAACAGAAGTCAAAAATTATTACTCTTAAACATGTTCACATCAGCATTGTCTACTGTGGAGGAAAAAAGAGTAGGATTTAGAACATCATAAAATATTACACAGTCTTTAAAAATAGTAACTATAAAGTCTAAGATGTAATATGAAAAATCTTTTTGATGTAAGAGTAACTGACAAGAGTCAGATCCAGAATGGTACGTAAACCATGAAGACAACTGCATAGAAAATACATTAATAACTGAACGGGGACAAAGACAGAGGAGATGCAGAAATGAAAACAGGTCTCATGTTAGCACAGGGGTGGCAGATTTTCCTCTTTCAAGTTTTTCTTCAATGTTATTTCATCATCTTTCCAGTAGCAATCATAACAACTTAGATTCCAGCTGGCTTGTCAGAGAGCCCTGAGGAGGACCCCTCTGGCCCCCACCCAGCCAGTGCACACTGGTCCCTTCCTCCCTCCCACCCATAGCACTGAGCCCCCTGGGGGACCTCTCTTACCAGCGACTCTGACCACAGCACGCTCTGCAGGGTCCAGCACCGAATCCTGGCTTTTCCGCTTTTTCTGCTCATGTAGCGGCAGGTTCCAGGGCAGAGTGTCCCCTGGAGGGCAGGGAGATAGGCTCCCTGACCTCTCGCTCCTGTAAGACCTCTCGCTCCGACATGACCGCTCACTCCGACATGACCGCTCACTGAGCGTCTCTTCATCTGAGGAAGACATGGCCCAGGTAGGGGCTGCAGCAGGAGGGCCTGGGACTCCGGGTAGAAGGGATCTGGAGGAGAAAGGGGTGAATGTGAACAGACAGAAGGGGTCACATAAGAAAAATGGGAACTCGGGAAGCAGAGGTTCTAGGCCTAGTTCTGCCACTGACCAGATTTTTTCACCTATCTAAACCTCAGTGTCTCCATCTGGAAAATGGGATGAAGATAATACACGTCAAAACTAATTCACAAAGTTTGCAGGAGTCATATGAGGTAATATATGTGAAGGGTGTCTATAAATCTTAAAACATTGTGTAAAAGTTAGCTCCTGTTGCTAGTAACCACGATTATTGTTATTGGGTACATTTGGAGGATTAAGCTCACAGGTCCCACAGATAGAAATATGTGGGTTCAAATTCTGCTACACCATTTTCTAGCTGTGTGACCCTGGAGAAGCCATGTAACTTCTCTGAGCCTCAGCATCCTCATCTACAAAATGGGAATGATGATAGCACCTAAACTTACAGGGTTGTTTACAAGGACTCAATTAGATCCTGCAAGTAAAGTGCTTAATTGTGCCTAGTGCCCAGTAAGCACTCAATAAACAGCATATATTATTACACTCCTGTTCTTACCTCCCAGGAATGCTATCAGGATAAAATGGGCCAGCAGATGGGAGGTATTTTCAAAAGCTAAAGCACAATCTCAATAGCAGGCATGAAACGAAGCATGGGCTAAAATAGGCAGAAATTCCCTGCCTCTTCTCCCTCTCTGGGTACAGCAGACACATTAGGAAACTGTAAGACAGACAGACCTAGGTATAAATTCTGATTTGGCCACTTACAATTGCTAAGTGTGATTGGGGAAAATCACTTCACCTCTCTGAGACTTAGTCTCTTCAGGGGCAAAATGAGAGAAATATTCCATCTTAGAGGATGTTTCAAGAAGATAGTGAAATGCAAGTGTAAAACTGGTTGATGCCATGCATGGCACACAGCAGGCATTAGATAAAATGTTCATTTGCTTATTCCAAGGGCTGTTTGGGAATAAGTGGCACAGCATGGGAGTGGGGGGTGGGAATGGGATGGAAATTCTGTTTTTCTGGTCAGTTTAGCTAGTGGAGAGTGTTGAGTGGAAACACAACGGCTCTGGGGCCAGCTGGGCTCCACCAGCCAGACTGGGCAGCCTTCCCTCAGCCAGGCCAAGCTCACCTGCCAGAACCATCTGCTACACATGGCCCACCACCCCAAGGGCTCCATCAGGGCCGGATGGTGCATGCCTTCAGCTACCAGCCTTCCTACAGCACCCAAATCCCGCCCAAGTAACCAGTTCTCACTTAGACTCTGGGATTGAAGGAGGACAGGAGCTGTCGAATTTCCCTTATAGGGAATACCTGCACACAGGGCTGTGTGGAGAGAGGGGGTGGCCTAAATGGCTGGACACCATGGGTCTCTGGCCACAGCTCCTCCTGGATTCTGGAATCTCAGCCTAAAGGCAGCAAGGGGCAGAGACAGCCTCCTGGGTCATTGGCAGAGTCCCACCGTAGGCACAGAATTCACAGAGATAACAAAAGAACCATCAAACTGTGCAGGAGGCCTCTAGGCCGCCTAGGGCAGACAGAACAGCCCTGCTGGGGCACCCTCTGTGCCAGCAGCACATGGGCCCTCTTCCCAGGGAACCTCAAGGAGGAATGCAGCCACAGAAGGCAGAAAGGAAAAGACCCAGGTTCTGGCACAGCTTTGCCCTTTATCCCAGCATCTTCCCCCCTCCCCTCCATCACCTGGTGCCCACCTCCCAGCTCTTATAGCCAGGGCAGGTAATGAAGTGACAGCCCCAACCTCTGGGAAACTCAGCCCAAGCTTCCATCCCTACTCTCTGCCCAGGGCAGGATAATGTCCCTCCTCTCAGACCACCTGCTTCATCCCAGAACCGCCCATTCCTCTCCAAGACACCCATTTTACTACAAAGGCACGCTCGTCCAAGGCCTCCTCCCGAGAAACCAGAGATCGTCCCTCCTCGGCTCTACCCGGGTCAGTCTCCGGCCCCTCACAAACACCTGCTTGACTTCGGGGCTCCAGCCCCACCCCTGTGTCACCCAGGTCACTCCATCAATCCCCGAGATTCACAGGAGGACGCGCCCACGCCCCCAATCCACCCCAAAGGCCACAGGCGGTCCGCGACCGGCACCTCACCTGGCGCTCAGTCGCTGCGGCCCTTCCCACCTACCCCACCCCCTACCCCACGGTGGGAGGAGGGGCGCCCGCGAGCCTGGGGCGGCGCGGGTGGGTCCGCGTGCCCGCCGCGCGTGGCTGACAAAGAGCGGGGACGCGCGACCGGGGACCGACAGGGCGCTGGGGCCAGCGGCCGAGCCTTGGGGCTGGGAAGCGACCTTCCCCGCCCAGCCCTGCCCGCCCCCGCAGGTCTCTCGCCCGGCCCCGGTAGGGCTCGGTGCCCCAATTTTCTGGGGAACACGCCTCTCTGGCCCAGGCAGCGCCCGCCCGGGAAAACCCCAGCTCCGCGCGCTCGCTACTCCCGGGCACCGGCCGCGGAGGCTGCAGGTGCGAGGCCCGGGTGGCCGCTATGCCTACGCCTGTCAACCCGCCTTCCCCCTGCAGCCGGCTGCCTGGGGCCCGGGCGCGGCCGCCCCGCGCAATCAATCACCGCGCCCCAGCCGGCGCCGCGCACCCGGCGCGCTCAGGCAGGGAGCCCGCATCCATCCCCGCGCCCCGCGCCTTACCCTGGGAGCCGAGGAGGAGGAAGGCGGGCCGGTGGCAGCAGCAAAAGGCAGCGGCGGCCGGGCGCGCCCCGGGCTGGAGCGCAGCCGAGG